GTGAAGTGGCACCATATGGAGTCAGGGAGCACTGTGAAGGGAGGGTTCAACGCGTGAACACATCTGAGCTGTTTGTCGACGTATATGGCGACTCCATCTCCTTCTTTCAGGTCCCTATCTCGCCTGACTAGGACCATATCATTTATATTGACTTCTCTGTCTGCCACCATAGGGGTTAGCCAGGTTTCCGTCAGTATTATGATTTTGGAGTTCAGTTGTGATTGTAGGTGTCTAAGTTCAGTTATTTTGCCTCTAAGTCCTCTCACATTACTGTACAGACAACTGGTAGTCAGTCTCACCACTTCTCCGTATTGGGGGGTAATTGACTTGATATTGGCTATCGGTTGAGGAGTTATCCTACGAACTAGTTGGCCGATTCCCCAGGAACCGGCTTGTGGGCGTTTTTTTCTTCTAGTTCAGTCGGAGCACTCGGATGACACTGGCTATCATCGTCCGTGCTGCATCGCTGTAGTGCGACTAGGGGTTGAGGATTTTTTTAACTACGCTTTGTTCTCTCCTTTGGGTGCGAGGCCGGCTCTCGCAGCAGCGAATGCGTTTGCTGACCTTGTCCTTGGTCTCGTACCATCTATGGAGAGCGGTAGTCAACTGGTCTTGGGAGCTGAACTTGACAGCTAACAGACGTGGCGTGTTAATTGACATAAGATGAGTGGGTCGAGGCAGTCTATAAATAGAGACAGCCCCTGAACTCCCCAGGGCCATCTGGGATACAAACCATCTCCATTGCTGTACATCATGACAATGCTTTTCGCAGGAGTTCCCAGTTCGGGAATTCCATGCACAACCATGGAGGCAGAAGGAATAAGCTCTGACAACTCCCTCACCATTTGTCTTTCCTTCCACGGCCTGTCTGGCTTAACACGTATGTTACAGGCCCTCCCTATAGAGAGGACTTGAGAAGCCAGTAACACTTTTTCAACATCCTCCGTAGAGCCCAATGTTACCCTCAGTGGGGATGGTTTGCCTTCAGGTGCAGCAGTGCCCCTATACAATCTGCATAGATTTACTGGTTGGATGTTCAAACCCAGTGTGCTACACAAGATGGACCACTGTTCCTGATCATGTAGGGCCCTGTCTTTCAGCAGACTACTACTACAGCCTGGTACATTAAAGAGGATTACACAATTTGATCTACTAACCGTGGGCTTAGGCTTGGTCCTCGCACATTTGTGATCCCCTTTAAGACCGTTTTGTTTCGTCTGGTGCGACTGGGTATTTTTGTGTGTCTCAGTGCTATGGCCAGTATTACTGGCAGACGATAGGGGTCTTTTTCCAACGACAGAAACCCGTGGTGCTCCAGCCTCTGTGCCTGGAGCGGTTATGTCCATTGGCGCATGTCAATTGGTAGTTTATTCCATATCTGTGCATACTTAATCAAGTAAAACTTTTGCCTGGTGGCTGTTTTACATTGTTCGATAGATACTGTACCCTTAGTGTGTCTTAGTTTGCGGCCATTGTCATCTGAATGTCGACTGCCATTAGTAGAGGTAAAAACTAAGTGGTTATAGGAGCTTATAGTAAAGTGTTAAGTTTAGTCTCAGGTGCCTTAAGCATAGTGTTTCTAGTCCTAGGGTATCACATCTAGTGAAGTAGTTCGCACCATTTTCGGTTCCGAGTAATTTTTACGTGAAGTAACTTTGCACTCCCTTGACTTTAAATTTGTCCTCTATGCGTATACTACTGTACATGAATGAACAGTAATCAAATAAAGGACGCACACAAACCTTGTACAACAGAATTCTGGACTCATTTCTGTAGAAGTTCCTGAGTAGAAAGCCGATAAGTTTGCGTGACTTTGAGATATGTTCGGAAAATGATAAGTCATGTGACTATTTCAGTCCTAGTTCCAAAGCGCGGTAAATTTAACACGCGATAACGTTAATACTCACGCTTCAGTCATGTACAATTTGACAGAAGACGAAAGAATACGAATGAAAGTACGCTGCATTTATTTGTAAACATTTGTCTATAGACTTGTATTGATCTGTACTTTAATTGCCAAACAATATATTTTTCGACCGGGTACTGGTGGAGTTAAAGTCGAGAAAGGTACATAGTAATTATCGGTTCGGAGCGTCTTCGTAGCAACAGGGCTAATTTCCCTAACACTTAGTTTAATGACGCCACTTTGTCCTGCTTGACATGTCCTCCTTGCTTTAACCGTGCCAGTAGCCTGTTTTACAGGACTCACCACACAGCTTATCAGGATTAAATGTACATCACACATAGGGATAGTGTCTACGGGCTAGGTGTGAATACCAAAGTAAATTCATCATTTATGTGACCACTTAGTAATGTATGTAGGAACTATGATTTGACCAGTTATACAGCGTTCAGTATGTCGACACATACTAGACGTAGGACGCTTAGTCCGGTGATGCATTGTCTAAAGCCATGTAGCTATCCTAAAATAGGTTTCTCTGGAAGTAATCTCCTGTAGCTGCCACCTTAGTGAGCAACTTAACGTTGTCTTTGAATTACAAAGTAGAATTGGACACACAGAAGACCTTGATAAGAGGATCGTCTTCTAGTCAAAGAAAGTAAATATATCCACGTCACCATGAAAGCGTCTAGAGGTATTTATCCTATTACCTCAACACTCCAAATGATTTACTATTCGTAGTCACTTACAAAGTAAGCGTAAATCTACCGAAGACAGAATGCCTCTAATTACTAAGATTCGTAATTCACCGAGAGGGAAAGATATATTCATAGGGTTACAACAGTTAGGCACATGATAATAATTATAATAATAAATTCCTAGTTTTGTAATAATAATAATAATAATAATAATAATATATATTCTCATTTTTTACATGAGGGACGCCAGTTTACAGGCATCATCAATTCGATTATTTACACATAATATTAATAAGCATATTTAGTAAAGATAATATAATAAAGTACATTTTTTTCCCTAGCTATGTAGGGTACACCAATTGTATAGGCATGCATAAATATTGTTTTAATAATAATAATATATTCCTTCCTGTTTATGCAGGATCATACCTATTGTACAGGCATGGATAAGTTATTATATAAATTACACATTATTTGATGTATAATGGACTTACAGTTTGGTTGTTCTTTCTGACATTACAGTCAGTCGGAACAGTCTGCTATAAAGTCTGTTTGTGTAGCACATAAAGAGATATAGAAATATTGTCTTCGCATTAACAAAAAACCCAGACATCACATGAATGTAATGCAGATATCTGGGAAAAATAAAGCTTGAAGTCAATTCTCTTTTATAACTTTGTTGTGAACAGCACCCATGGCTTGAAGTTTATTGATGTATCATGTTGAGATCAGTGATATATTTATTATATTTTTGCAGCAGTCTTATCGTAGTTTCATAACAGGAAAGAAATTTGATCGTGGAGGCGAAAATTAGATAAGGTCATGTCGGGTTGTTTTACTGCATCAAATGGTCCCGAGGTCGATTCCAGAATTCCCCATTTGCGCCATTTGTGTCTACATGGTGGACTGTACTCGTAAGTTGAGTAAAATGTTGAAAACCAGTTGCTTCTTTATTTCAGATCATGAATACTCATTTACATCGTGTCCGCCAGCTTCTTTAAATGGTAGAATTGGATCGTTCCTGGAATTTGAGTGATTATGGGATAAATGGTTTGGAATTAATTTTTGATTCAGCAACCGGTGAATTTTTTATTCTTTTCGATCTAGTACCAGAATAACTGCGAACCATTCCATTCAATATGTCGAATAAGGCACGCAGGAGGAGATCATTACAATGGAATGAGTCAACTTGATCTGAGATGCAGCTTTCAGCATGTTTTCGTTATATCATAGATATCCAGGTTTATTGGCGCTGTAGAGGCAGTGATTTGGATTATGACGTATTCTACAAAGTCTCCGTGCCCATTTGAAGTATACATGTGCTTTGAAAGGATTACTTTGTTGGCTCCTACCCCCACTGAGTGTTAACAACAGCTGCTGTGGGTTTATGTATTTCCTCGCCTTTTTGGATAAAACATCGCCGCATTCTTTTTGGGTAGGAGACCAGTTGGTGGATTATAAATGATATCCAAGTAACTTTTATCTTTTCATGTGGTGTTGCGGTAAGTTTCTACCTTGTTTTCTCATATTTCATTCGTATGTTGATTATGGTTCGCCCTTTGTATCAGGTAGACATAGTTTGAACGACTCTTGGTTGAATGGGTGTTATTGTCATGACTGCTGCTTTTTTGTCTGGAATTATAAATAGAGACAAAACAAACAACAGGTGTAGTCTCTGAGTTCATACATTAAATGGGCCTATGATTTCTGAAACTCTTACATGGGAATTACCATTGGTATCAATTGCAAACTCACTTAGTGTGTCATTAAGTGCCTTTTCAAAGGAGGCCAATGTGCTTGCTAGTCGTATTTTCTCAGGTAGTTTGTTCCATATTTGGGCATACCTAATCAAGAAAAACTTTTGCCTGGTGGCTGTTTTACATGGTTCTATAGCCACTGTACCTTTAGTGTGCCTAAGGTTGTATCCTGTGTTACCTGAGGGCCGAGTATAGTTAGCAGGGGTATACACTATTTGGTTAAGAAGCTTATAGAAGAGTAACAGATTTAGTCGCAGTCGCCTTAACCATAATGTTTCTAGTCCTAGGATTTCACATCTGGTAGAGTAGTTTGTGCCGTTATCGGTTCCGAGTACATTTTGCGTGAAGTACCTCTGTACTCCTTCTACTTTCAGTTTGTCTTCTATGCGTGTACTGCTGAATATGAATGAGCAGTAATCTAGGAGTGGGCGCACACATACCTTGTACAGTAGTATTCTGGACTCGTTTCTGTAGAAGTTCCTGAGTAGGAAACCAATAAGCCTTCGTGATTTCGACACTTGATTCGAGATATGCTCTGAAAGTGATAGATTGTGTGAATATTTCAGTCCTAGGTCTAGTACAGATTTGAGTTTGGGGATTATGTGGCCCTGAATTGCTAGGTTGAGGTCAAGGTTGGAACAGCCTATGCAGAGCCATCCACACTTTTCAACATTAAACTCAAGTTTACACGTGTCACACCATCTATCCATTTTTGCTAATTCTTCATGTATGGGGTTCATAGTTGGGCCGATATCTGTATTTGTGCAGGTATATGTCACCTTCAAGTCATCTGCATACAGTATTGGCTTGCCTATACTGAAACATTCACATATACTGTTTATGTATATTATGAAAAGAAGGGGTCCCAATACACTCCCCTGGATGACACCACTGCTGATTGGTCTAGGTCTGGAGGTCATTGAGACAACTTTAGTTGTCTGATTCCTGTCATACAGAAATGATTTTATCCAATTGTAGAGGGGGTTGCGTATCCCCAGTGAGCATAGCCTACCGACTAACAGACTATGTGGGACTCTGTCGAAGGCTTTCCTTATATCGAAATAGAGGATAATCACTAGCTCTCTCCTATCTCTTCTATAGGTGACTTCGTTGAAAAAGTCTATATGGCAAGTGACGCAAGATCTTTTCTTGAGGAATCCGTGTTGTGACAGGTTGATGAGTTTATGTTTTAGAAAGTAGTCTGACATTTGGTCTTTGATTACTTTCTCCATGATCCTTGATATGACTGGTGTTATATTGATAGGCCTATAATTACATGCACTAGTTTTGGCCCCTCCTTTATGCTTAGGTGATATATATGTGTTTTTCCAAGTTTCAGGGTAGGTTTCGGTCACTAGTGAGATATTAAATATTCTAAGTAATAATACAATCATATCCGTACCACCGTTTTTGTATATGACGGATGGTATATCGTCTATCCCACAACTACTGTTAGCTTTTAATGTCCTCACCGCCGATGCTATATTTTGTATATTAAAGTTTATTTCACCTAACTTGTAGTTATTTTTGCAGGTTATGTCGAGAATTGGGGACGGATGTGCTTTGGTGTTATTGGAGAACCACTCACTCAGGAGTTCACTAATGATCTGGGGATCATCATAAATTATATCTTCGTGTTCTAAATGACTGATATTGTTTTCTTCACCCTTCTTCAGCCGTTTTTGCAAGATTTTGCAGAGTTCCTGGGTTTTAGAGGTGCCCTCTAGGGCTTTATTTTCCTCCACTTGTGCTTTCATTTTATGTCTCTCCTCGAGATTTTTAAATATTTCGTGTATCAGGTGTAATGCATTAAATTCTTTGTATAAATAAAATCTCCTTTTTAGTTTCCTTAGTTTTATTCGCGTTTTGCGATCTATGAACATAGTTGGTGTCTTTTGGGCAGATTTCAGGGGTGCGATTGTGTCTCTTACCGAACTGATTGTCTTGTAGAAGGTATTTAGTATTACTTCTAAGTTATTATTGGTGAAGTATTCTCCCCAGTACATGAGAGTACATGAGGGACTCCAGTTAACTGGCATAATCAACAGGATAAATGACACAAGGAGTAGGCAAATTACAATCGTTCACTTACACAAGTTATACATAACGAAAGCTAATGTATTGGTACCTATAAGGTCACTTTACACAGGTGGAAGCAATGTACACAGCACAGCGCTGGACTTATTTATCACGTACTGTTGAAATCCGCTTGGAAATTTTTTTGCCAATAATTTTTAATAAAATTGTATTGCATGTTATCTAGATTGAGGGAAATTCCCATTTTTTGGCTAGTTATGTTGGTGTCCGCCTCATGTGATCTGACTGCGACACACTTTTAGCATATGGGTTGCAATGATTAGTGTTTCAGGCGGAATGTATCAACATACCGGTGTAATAAGGAAGATACGATAGTTAGAGGGTAATGCCATTTACACAAATCGTTTACTCCGTGTAGAAGCTGCACCTTTCGGCATAGTATCGTTCAATGAAGACTTCACATCTCGGGATATCAATACAGCCTATTGTCGTGTGAAGAATAGTCTTTTTTGACAAAATAATTCTCTCGGTGCCTGGAAATCACCTGCAAATGCTATCAGAATCGTTTGTGGGAACCTAAGTTATCATTTAGATGTGCTTTTCACTCTATCTGTGGTTGGACAGGAATTATGGTAAGTTGAGAGGTTATTTCTAAGTGGATTTCATATATATTGGCACTGATTGGTGCAGTGTGCTATGGGTTTTGTGAATTAAATGTACAAAATGCCTCAACTTTATTAATATTGTGCCATTGTCTACTTAGCTGACTGATACGGTAACAAACGAATGTGGTTAACCACCTTCCTAATCGTGACAACTGTCACGATTATTGCAAGTACAATGCAGTGGAGAAGGCAATTACTCGTGAAAATTTCCTTGCTGTTCCAATTAATGCACTGAATCATTACACGGTATGATTATACGCATGAGTCGTGGTGATTATGAGAGCTGAATCTATTCAGCTTTATTATCATTAATATGAATTTATTCTCTTTTACAATTTCCACTGGCTGTATACTTAATGCTGCAATATTTTTGATCACCAATAGTGGAGATGAATTTCTCCTGAGATTTCCATTTACACAAAGCAGTACAGATGGGTATGACGATTGAATTTTCTGGTTTGCATTATATGACATTATTACCCTCATCAACAAATCAGGTCTGCGTACTTTACAATAGTTGAAGTGTTTCACTATGTTGTTAGCACTGTGCATAGCTGTTTAGAGTTGAGGCATGTTCAGCTTATATTCGATGCCTATAATCTTCTAAATGTGAGAATGTGATTTCTGTAGGATTCACAAAACCTTGTGGACTAGACATTACTGAGACTGTGGATTAATTTCAAAGTAACACATTTGCAATACTTCATTTCATGTAAAAGTATTTAGTGTGAATTTGATCTGCAAGTAAGTTTGATGAGAGAATGACGCCTCAATAGTATGGATGTTCCAGAGTTTGTCTTGAAATTTGCGTATAATCCTCAAATACAGGAAAACATATGATGTCTATTTATGTATACGGCGACAACATAAATATCAGCTGTAGACTACAAATACATTTATCTGCATGAGATATTACTTAGGATTGACAAAATCATTGTATTCATAGTATATGCAAATATGTAGAATTATCTCTCGTAACTTCATGTTGTGCTAAATCTTACATGTACTTTATTTTTTCAGGTATACGGAGGTTGTTGAATATGAAATCAGCGGAAACATCATTCGGTCAAACTAACGTTAATACCCTTCATCAGAATTTTCCTTTGTAAATTAATCAAATGTTTAATACACTCTTGATTTGTAATTCCTCTGGACTTTTTCAATTAGTTGCTATACTATGTGCTTTTGTAATAAGTGAATTAGGAATAATAAACGCTAAGCTTAGTTAGTGGGACGGAGATTTACTGTAGTATTATAAGACTGTTACTTTAGTCATTAATAGGATTTCGTGTCTGTTTGCACACAATAGCACATTGTAAATGCTAAATGAGGTTTAGCAAGTTGAATAATAATTCTGTACTGTTCAATACGCTAAAGTCTCCTTATCTAGCTGGTTACAAGTCTGTATACTGTTAAACGCCAAGTATGTGGTACAATTAAATGTAGTAACTTACGCTTGATAGCTACTTCACTAATCTGTTAATATGCAGTGACACCATTGAATAGACTGTTCGCTTGACAATGAGCTAAGAAACAATTTTTTTTCTAATATGCCGTTAAATCATAGGATGTTATCTAATATCCATCATTTCTATGATAAACAACTGCGGTATTTGCATATCTACTTTATGGATATTAAATAACTTACGCCTGTATGCACCTAATTACCTCCAGTATTCCCTATTCATTTCATGTGTGTACACTAAACAAGTCTTTCATAAATTCTCTCACAAATGCTGAGGTTTCTGGTGTCACAAGTGTTAATAATAGTTGCTTCCTTGGTTTCAATGCAAGTGACGTATATACGAACTAAGGAAAAGTTACTCTTACTTAATCTTCAACCTTCACTTAAAGCCTCTAACGATCCCAAACAATTCTCCTATAAACACAGTATAATTACTTTAGATGCAGCTGCAGTCTTGCATCACAATATTTTCTCCAGTATAGACAATGGGGCTAAATTCGCTGCACCTTCCTAGATTACACATCTGCTTTCGACCCATTAACTAGAGATATTATGTTAAATAAGCTTGCTGAAACTCAAACTGAGTGTTATATTGTTAAATGTACTTTACTGTACTAAGATGAACAGCTCTCTATTAGGAGTGGGAAAATGCTCCTAAACTAAATCCTTCGAAATGTCAGACTGTTATTTCCAGTTTCCGTTGTAGAAGAAAGTTACGTGAAGGTGTTAATTCCTATGACCGTTGCAAAATTGATAATTGTGATATGGAAATCAAGTCTGACTTTAAGTATCTCGGACTAATTCATCACAGTGTATTGGCCCTAAATGTATGCTCATAATGTTTATGAGCTAGGTATGCAAATCAAGGTAAACGCTTGTACAGTACATTCACTATCTATAAAACTAACTCGTACGTAAGAACTATGGTTTGATCAGTTATACAACGCTTAATACATTTAGACACAATTAACCTACGCTGCTTACTTCTATGACGCATTACCTAAAACTACCTTAATATAGTTTCCGCTGAAGGTAATCTCCTATAGCTACCACCTTAGTGGGCAACTTAGCGTTATCTTCGAATAACGAATAGCGAAAATTCTGAGAACTTTCTTGGTAAAATGATCGTCTCCTACTCCAAAAAATTAGATATACCCTAGTCCCCACAAAGACGTTCAGAGGTACTCATCCTATCACCTCCAACAACTCACTGTTTGCAGTCATTTAAAAAGTAAAAATAAATTTACCAACGACAGCGTGCCCATGATTTCTAGATATCATAATGTACCATGAGGAAAACGCTATATCCATGCGGTTATAGCAGTCAGATGCGCGAAATTAGTCCAAAACACAACAACCACGATTCTCAGTCACATAACATCTTACATCTTACTTCGCTACCTACAATAACGCTACCGCGCGAACTTTAAAAAAGGGAGTTAATTGTCACGCTCTTGTTTATAATTGGCTTTTGTTGTGTTATACGCTTCAAAAGTCCACAGATTTAACTTTAAATCAGTTTATTCTGATCGAAGTTAGTTTATGTTTCAGATTTGAGTCTATTAATTATAGGAAGTTGTGTTCTCATAACATAATAGCTACATATATCCATCTTTGTGCACTCATTAGCTTTTATCACTGATTTACAAAGGTTATATATATATTTGAAGTTGTATTTAACTTTTCCTGGTTTGTTTTAAATAAAATGCCTATAAAAAGAAACCGCTGAGGAAGGGCTATGTGCCAGTTTCCAGTGGATGAGGGAATGCAGTGTGATAACTGCAAGAGATGGTTTCACAGTATGTGCACGAACCTAACTCCTGCAGCATACAAACGCTGCTGCAAACCTCTAGCGAACTGTTTGTGCAACGACTGCTGTAGTACAACTAAACTCCGTATTACAGAAGCCATAGCTACTCATAGTGGGGCTTTAAAGCTCATCCTTGTGCATTGGCGCGCGCTTTGAAAAAGGAGAGTGGCATTTTTTACGTTGTGAAGTAAATTCTGCTTTTGTTGTTTAAACCACATCAGAAGCTTTTAGTTCACTTTAACTGATTTATTTAGTTCAAGTGTTGTCTGTTTTATTCACATTTTGTGTTTTGGTCGGTATTTACCTAGCTGTCACACGTATATATAAGTGTGTATTTGTTTGGCATTAACCTCACTGTTTTGACGTATATATAACTGTATAGTTGTAACAAATTAAAATTATGGCCCCAACTAACAATTGTGGTCGACCGGACTGCCATTTTCCGGGGGAAGATGGGATGCAGTGTGACAACTGCAGCCTTTGGTTCCACAAAGTTTGCACTGGTTTAACACCAGTAGCCTATAAGAGATGTTGCAAGCCATCATCTCCATGGCTGTGCAAATTTTGCAGCAACCCGTTAGATGTCCTCATCCAAGAGGCAGTAGGACTCTTGATGTCCAAGAAATTGTCGAAAGACATAGTTGAAAAGCCTGTACCAGAAACCTTCGCCAAGGATGGCGGTTCAGGACATAGTTGTAAGATTCAGGGTGCATCACCTCCTGAAGTCTCAGAAGCGAAAGAAGCACAAAATGCCCAGACATCTGTTGCTGCAAAGCGCAAAAGGCAACGGAAATCCAGAAGGGCAAGTAGTGCCAGCATGGCAAAACCAGCCTGTGAAATAGCAACGCCAAAGCGCAGCGTGTCTAGTGCACGAATGGCTTCTAGTCGCGGCGAAAACAGAGTGGGAGAAACGGACTCCACTTGGTTGCTGCCGAAAGGTAAGAAGCTAAACAAAACTAGGAAAGAAACAGTAGCCGAGTTTACCAACAAGGTCTCGACGACTGTTAGTTCCAGAAAAACTCAGAAACCCACGGACTCTAGTTACAGTATTATCATCTGGAACTTGGAGGAATCTAAGAACACAGATCCAGCTGCCCGACATGCAGATGATCTGAAGGCGATCAGCTCCATATTCCGGGAAATACTTCCCGAAAAAACAACTGGAGTACACGTACGAAAGGCTATCAGGATCGGAAAACGAAACCCTGATGCTACAGGAACTCCTCGACGACTACTTAAGGTAGTTTTAGGGAACGAAACAGAGAGGAGGACCATCCTCGACAACGCGTTCAAAGTCAACGACAAAAGTCTAAAAATAAGGCCTGATTGGCCTTTGGAAGATAGAATCAAAAGAAGAGAAGCCGTGGCTGAACTAAAGGCCAGGCTAGAGAAAGGCGAGAAGGACCTCAAACTATTGGGTTTTCGGGTGGTGAGGTCTCGGAAACCGATGCTGCCGAGACTTCTCTTCATAAGCCGGGTGAACACGTAGGTGTTTCGGTGTGCTATACGAACGCATGTAGTCTTAGGAATAAGCTCGCCGAATTAGGAGAGTTATCTGAAAGACTACAACCTGATGTAATTGCTATCACTGAGACGTGGTTGTTAGTGGGTGTAGACTTAACTCCACTCATACCTGGGTATATCTGCATACGAGCAGACAGAGTAAGTAGTCGGAAAGGTGGGGGGGTTGCTCTTTACATCCGGGATGACATAGGGATCAGGTCAACGTTGTCAGAAGCTCATGACAGCGGCACCAGTGAAGCCGCAAGTTGCATCATTAACTTAAACAAAGGCACTTTAACGATCGGAGTTATCTACAGAAGTCCTGCTAGCCAAGCTGATGACTTCGTTCTAAATCACTTGAGGGCGTGGGGTAGTAGAAATAGGTGTCTGATTGTTGGCGACTTTAACGCTCCACATATTAATTGGGGGGAATTAAACTCCACTAGTTTGTATACCTGTTTCAATAGGGAGCTCACATTGACAGTGCTTGAATGTGCACTCGTGCAACATATGCATGCACCAACACGGTATCACCCTGAACATGATCCATCTACTCTAGACTTGGTATTGACACACCAGAAGGAGGACGTTGGTAACATTAGGTGCCTTCCGCCGCTTGGCAGCAGTGACCACATAGTCATTGCTTTTACGTTTAGGATTCATTCTCTCATGCACAGGCCAAAATCTGCTCGTCCAAACATTTGGAAAGCGGATATACAAGGAATCCGGAACGCAGCAACTGTGGTTGACTGGTCAGTTGATACAAGTCAGACTGTCGAGGAAGCTTGGGTAGGATTTAGGAATACACTAGATCGTGTCACTTCACCTTTTATACCTTGGTACACTCCTCGAAAGCCGTCGCATGAACCTCTTTGGATCACTAGTGAAATAAGGAGGTTATTAAGACGGCGAAAGAACTTATGGGACCAATTTGTTATGACAGGAAGGGAAAACTTCCAGAAAGACTACCGCAAAACTCGAAACCTCTGTAAGTATGCGATTAACAAGAGTCGTATAGAGTACGAGAGACGATTAGTACTAGATTGCGTTCATTACCCAAAAAGGTTTTACTCGTATATTAAACGTAGGACTAAAACTAGCAGTGGTATACCGTCACTCATAACCATTAGTGGAGAAGCGGCTGAGTCAGACGAAGGGAAGGCTGAAAACCTCTCTGAATACTTCTGTGACGTCTTCTCGTCTGATAGTACCACCCAGGGATATGGCGAGGTCACTGCCATCGCCACTCAGATGCCCTCAATTGTGGTAGAGCACACAAAGGTTCTGAAACTACTGTCTAAACTGAAGCCAGGTAAATCACCTGGGCCGGATGGACTCCACCCTAAGTTGTTACTTTCCTTGGCGGATATAATATATATTCCGCTTACGGAGATTTTCCAAATGTCTCTGACGCAGGCTAAGCTACCCAGGGACTGGAAGGATGCCATTATAAGCCCTATCTTCAAGGACGGGGATAGGCAATTGGTATCTAACTACAGGCCGGTAAGTCTGACATGCATTATTGCAAAGGTACTGGAAACTATTATAAGGGATCAACTATTAGCTTATGTTGAAACATATGGCTTGTTGGCTGTGGAACAGCATGGATTCCGACCAGGACGATCCTGCTTGACAAACCTACTATTGGCTAGGGAAGACTGGGTTGAGGCCAGAGATAGGGACCATCTGTTGGACGTGGTTTTTATTGATCTTAGCAAGGCGTTCGACAAAGTATCCCACTTAGGTCTCCTTAGTAAACTGAAAGGTTTCGGACTAGACCAATGCCTATGTGAGTGGTTTAGAGATTACTTAATGGATAGAAGGCAGAAGGTTAGAGTTAATGGTGTACTATCAGGATGGAAAGCAGTATCCAGTGGAGTGCCCCAGGGAACTGTATTAGGTCCATTGCTATTCCTATTATACGTTAACGAATTACCAGGGATTCTTTCTTCATCTTCATTATTATTTGCAGATGACATTAAGGTATGGAAAACTGTAAACAATAACGAGGATAGGTTGGCCCTACAAAATGACTTAGATAAATTAGCTGAGTGGTCAAGCCTATGGAGTTTGGAAATGAATGCTAGGAAAAGCGCGGTAATGCACTTAGGTCAGAAGTCTTATACGTCGTACTCCCTAGGGGATGCAGAACTACCTGATGTTAAAGAACAGAAGGACCTAGGAATCATTGTCAGCAACGATTTGAAAACAACTGCAAATTGCAATGCAGCCGCAGCTAAAGCTTTTCGAATGCTATGGGCAATTCGAAGGGCTTTCAAACGATTAGACGAGGGCATGTTCCAAATACTCTACGCAACATATGTCAGGCCTCATCTAGAATACTGCATACAAGCGACGAGTCCATGCTTCAAAAAGGAGGCACATATTCTGGAAAGAGTACAGAGAGTAGGAACAAAATTAGTTAGTGGTATCTCACACCTTCCTTATGATAAGAGGATGGAGCATTTAAATCTCTTCCCGTTATCATACCGAAGGAAGAGAGGCGACTTAATTTTAGCATACCGTATACTTAAGGGTGATTTAGGAACTGACCTTTCTAACCTTTTCTCCCCTTCTAGGATACATTTACGGGGTCACCGCAAAAAGGTGCTCAAACCAAGGACGATTAAAATACGTGCAGAATTTAGATTCTCTCACAGAGTGGTCAACGATTGGAACTCCTTACCTGATTCAGTAGTATCAGCTCCATCGGTGAACGCTTTCAAAGAGAAGTTAGATCTCTGCAGAGATATACTTTGCAAGGATTAACACAGGCCACAAGAGCCTTCTATCCTTATCATCTGAATCTGAATCTGGACTGCAAGCGTCCTCCACCACAGAAGAATACCGACTATTGCTCAGATAACGATGACGTGACCAGCGTCATTGACAAAACAGCACATGTCCCAGATGCGATCTTGCCAATAAGTGAGTGCTCTACAGCACAGAACACCCACCATATTACAGACACCCAGGTCGCGCCCACGATACTGGATGAGCCCTCCAGTGACAGTAATGGAAAGACTGCCGGGAAGAAGAGGCGTGCCAGGGGTCGAAAACCTGCAGCTCCAGTCGCCCAGGGACTGGCGGAACAAGCCTCATCCACACCGGTGAGCAGGAGACAGACGAACCCCATTAAGATTAGCGAGGAGGACGCCAACGAATGGCGCACCGTAGTCTCTCGCAAAAAGCGAGATAAGGATAACACTTCGGCCACACCGCCCAAGAAGGATAGAAACACACTTACGCCTCAGGGCAAGAAAGTCACGGAAAGCAAACCCGATCTCTCTGACAGGTCTCTCATTCTCCACAAAGTGGAGGAGTCACTGGCCCTCGACCCTAAGACCAGATTCGAGCATGACCTTAACTTGGTCAAGCCCCTTTTAGACAAGCTACTGCCACAAACAGTATCAGGCATTACTATACACAGCGTATACAGAATAGGTCAAAAGCCTGACCCTACAGTAAGTGAACCTGTACGTCTCCTCAAAGTCGTACTAAACTCTAAAGCAGAGAGGGATGCTATTCTAAGCAACTCTCATATTCTCAAAGGATCAGGGATATATGTCCGTGCTGACTTAAGCCTAGCAGACCGTGTCAAAAGACAGGCTGCGGCACTCGAATTAAGTGAGCGACGCCGGAACGGTGAGAAGAACCTTAAGATTAAGGGTTTTCGGGTTGTCCGAGTTCACAGTTTAATGATCCCGAAACCTCTGTGGGTGGGCCGGGGAAGCACCAATCTGAATTAACAGTCTGCCACACAAACGCCCGCAGCCTGTTAAATAAAAGGACTGAGCTGGCAAACATGACAGAAACCGGAAACCCGGATGTAATTATTATTACAGAGACATGGCTCACACCCGATGTCACTGACAACGAAGTTAACCTGCCAAACTTCGAAGTGCACAGGGTAGACCGACTAAACCGCAAAGGAGGGGGCGTAGTCATCTACCTCAAGAAAGGCTTAACCGTGCGTAGTATTGAAGCACTCGCCCACGAAAGTGAGTCGTGCGAACTTCTACGCTGCAGACTTAAATGCATAGGCCAAGACATTGACCTCATTGCTGTGTACCGCAGTCCTGACTGCAGTGCAGACGACTTCCTAATAGAGAAGCTAGGCTCCTGGACTTCAAAATGTCGAAGTCTCGTAGTCGGTGACTTCAACGCCCCAACAATTGACTGGTCGAGCCCAACAACTCCATCTTCACTCAACTCCTTTGATCATAAACTGCTAGAATCTAGTATATCGCTAGCCCTAGTCCAACATATCATTAAGCCCACGCGCTATGACTCACAGCACTCCTCGTCAACTCTGGACCTAGTGTTCTTACACGGTGAGGATGTGGATCTCATACAACGTCTTCCTCCTTTAGGAAGAAGTGACCATGCTGTGCTCACTTTCAAGTTCACTGAACAGGCAGCAAGGGTCAAAACCTCAGCTCGACCAAACGTTTGGAAAGCTGATATAAATGCGATCGTCTCGGCAGCAAACTCAGTAAACTGATACATCAACCCAGATTCCCAAGTAGAAGCCACATGTAATCAATATAAACAACTTTACGCCTAAGTAACTGAACGTTTCATCCCTAGATTTGTTCCAAAGGGTCGAAAACTTTGCCCCCTTTGGATAAATCGAGAGATTCGTAAGTTATTCAGACGTAGACACAATTAGTGGAACCTGTTTGCCACACTTGAGACTTCTGAAACCAGATAATTATATAGCACTGCTAGAAATGAAGTCATTGTAGAAGTCCGTCAATCAATGATGAAGTTGGAGGCATATCTGGCTCAGAGTGCAAAGAGACAACCTAAGAAAAATTTCTCGTACATGAACTTCAGGAATAAAACATCCAATGGTGTCCCAAAACTGACTATTGGCAACGATACAAACGAGGAAGATCAAGAAAAAGGAGAAGCAATGGCGGATTACTTCTCCCAAGTCTCCACTCAGGAGTCATCACTCCCTGTAGGATCAGCTTTGGCTTCATCAGAGGAATACGGGATAGATTCTGTTGACATCGACCAAGGCACCGTGCTCAACTTCTTAATAAAACTAGATGCAGGTAAATCAATGGGTCCTGACAATCTTCATCCAAGGCTTCTCAAAGAGCTATCAGCCCACATAGCCGGCCCCTTAACCACGATCTTCAAGCCATCTCTCCTAAATGGAGTGTTGCCACGTGATTGGAAAGACGCCATAGTAACCCCATACACAAAGGAGGATCAAGACAAAGCCCTTCAAATTACAGGCCTATCAGTCTCACCAGCACTTTAATCAAGACACTGGAAAGAATTATCAAGAAAAGCATCATGGCTTATCTGGAAAATAGCAGCTTGTTATCTGGAGCACAGCATAGCTTCCAGAGGAACCTCTCAGGCGAAAGCAATACATGCGATTGCCATTGAAGAAATTCAGCCAAAGTTTGTCTTTAGGAACCTATACCTCAGAATCAAGAAGTGAGTACGAAGAAATCAAATTGGTTAATACTAGCTCGTAAAAACGATATTGGATATTGGATATCATATTTGAGGATTGCGTTACTGTGGATGAGTGTAAGGCAAACAAAACTAATATTGTAACACTAATCAATGTTTTATTTTCTCTACTTGCAGGAAGACACCAGGCAGTCAACTGCTTGGACGAGGAATTGCAGAACCTGAACATGAATGAAGCTCAGTAAAACTGTAATTCCCTAAAACTGTATCCCGCACTTTTTAAAAAGTTCATTCTCGCTGAATAAACTCTTTCCTGTGCAGATGGTGTTCTGCTTTCATTACGGTGTGCCTGCTGGTTGCCTGTTACATGAGTAAAGTTGGTTATTCGTAACGTGATGAAATTGTTTCGTAAAACGCTAGTTAGTTCACCGATAATAGTGTTTTTGGCAATAGTAAATAACAGAAACCAACATATTAGAAATATATACTCTGTATGATTCATTTTTATTACATGTATATCATATGTACACTTGGTGACTCTAAAGAATAGCGGCCCAAACCGAAACGACCTTTTAACGCAAAAATGACCTTGACAGGGACAACTTCGGCCAATGAGAAGGCTCAAAAAGAAAGGCGCATGATTGTAAAAAACGGTTTATATAGAAGTAATGCAATCATAATAAACAGTTACAAAGAATAGTGTTCGCGTATATGTTGCAAAAAAACTTCCCAGTTTCTCATGGGAGTCTTCATAGTCATATGAAACCAGTTTCAGTACATAAATTCATCCAGGTAACTGTGAATCATGGGATTTCTCGATCCATTAACCGCTCTTATACGTCTTTCTAGACGACTCCAAAATCTTTCACTGGAACTGGTGTGGGTTCCATCCATAGGCTTTCGGAAACCGTCCGTATGATTAACAACATGATGAAGGTACCCATGATTCGATAATTGACGGTATCCGCTCCATTCATCCGTATGAATGGTCGTCCCCGGCAACACCAAACGCTTATTAATAGGCACTAATACTGCTGCACTGCGATTAGGAATCGCTTCCACATACCCTTTGCGCGGTGTCATGTCGTAGATACCCAGTATCCACTGCTGGTTTGCTTGTAATCTCCCGCGGTTGTATTTCCTTTTTATAAGTGCAGTCTCATGAATATGGACTATGCTGCCGACTCCCTCGAGAACTTGAGTGAGGGTGTTCATTTTCCAGGAGGAAACATCTCTGCAGTAGTTGTACAATTGCACCGCTGACACCTCTGAATTTTCTGTTTCATAAGCTGTAGCTGTGACTGCTCTTTTCAGGACCCAGAAGTTACATATCATTAAAATTTTCGCCAAAGGTAGTTTAGACCTTGAGAGGAAAGTTCCTAAGGGATCTGTAAACTAAAAAACAACGACAAACCATCTCGAACCGATTTCCTCGAGGAAATCGAAGGATCCTTCGGCACTCAATACATTTGTATACAAAGCCATCAATGGCCTCTGCTTATATTTGTATATGCATAACTCCTCCGCACTGGCAAATTTTCGACAAAGCTATGAGTCCGTTATCCAAACAGTAATCGGAAACATCCATGATTACTTCCGAAAATGATACAGTCAGCTGATTCCTTGCTCAAGGTCACATTTTTGTTCGAAGGTCGTTTCGGTTTGGGCCGCTATTCTTTAGAGTCACCGTACACTTTTCTGTGAATTAAGTACCATTTTTCACCTAGAATAATCGGATGGCTGTTCAGGGTTGTCGTAATTTGGTGTCTATTCTTTACTGTTTCTACTTCTGGAACATCGCAGAACTAGGGACAGTGATCTGCAGTTCGCCCGAGGTCAATGCTAGCTGTAAGCCAAAAACGAAGCGACTTAATGAGCAGATTATTGAATTTGAGCAGCCAGTCAGATGATTCCGTAGTGTACATGGATGCTGTACATGAGTAATGCAACAATCCGATCAACCAAAAAGCGCGACAGAACGCTAATATGGACGCCAACATTGAGAAGCCCAAGGGAACGTAAAGGGAAAATCAGGGAGACACTGAAGTGAATCCCCTTTTCTTCCAGGTGACACGTCTTATTTCTAGTATTGTTGGCACGTTTTTGCTATCATTATGTCCCCTTTAGTCTTAATTTCATCCCCATTGTCTAATAATTCCTTCTTTCTCTATACTTCCCACTTCAAAAACATTATCCCCTTATTGTTGCCTATATGCAATCTATCTCCCTCGTTGAAAATGGTATCCCACTTCTTGTCGGGCTTTCCCCAAAAATGCTTCCTTTTTTGTGCGCACAATTGTCCGATTGGGAAATCTCATCCAGATTTAGTATGCAAGCATTGCTTAGACAACAGGCTTGCACTATATTCAGAGTGTGGTTAATAATACAGACAGTTCCTTTAATCCTGCCCATGGGACCCACATAAATTCCATCGAAAGCTTCTAGTCACCTGAAAAGGAGGATCAGAGCCTTGCGCGAACCAAGAAGCACGATGATTTACCGTCACCTCGACGAATTTGCGTACAGAAATTGGTGAAACCTAACTACGAGGACTTCTGAGAGAAACTGGGAGGTTTCCTTGGAACATACAGAACGGAGTTATCCTATGTGGCTACAGTTTAAGGTTGCATTATTTCTGTATAAACGTCGTTTTGAAATTATGCACTTCTGCTTCAGACGCAATCGTTTGGTCGATAGACATGTGGTAAAACCTTTATTAGGCAGTTTCGTTTTGGGTTGCAATAGTTTAGAGTCACCCCGTTTCGGTGGTTATCAATGACTACAATCCCATGGGTCTCTATGCATTTCTTGAGTTTTGGTTATACGTGTAATATTTCCCTTGGTTGATATTTAGCGGTCATGTAGTGTGATATTCTGCGTTTCGACAGACTGTGGCAGTTATAGTCCGAGCTTCATTAACAAAGCCTTTTTAAAAAGTTTGCCGGAGGCGAATATGTCGAGTGAAAGCAGCACATATGTGGTTGGGAGTTTTAGTGAAATAGTGCTAAAATGATGTTTCCGCCTCTGACAGGAAGTTAAGAATGCATCAGAGGACTTTAAGAAAGCGAGAACCTTAAAACCGCCAGCAGTGTATACCTCTGAACACAATACGTTCATATTCAGAGGAGAAATCGGCGGTGGAGAGATGTTGGATTGCAGTGAGACAATTTTATGGAGCCCTTATCCAGTGTGTCTTTCTTTTTATTCGTTGGTTCCTGAGACGACTAACAAAGTATTATTGAATGTATTCCTGCAGTAGATTTAGTGTCACGATTACTAGGAGTTAGTTAGTGGGACTATATGCACGTAGTTTTCATGAGAATTTTTCGCACCAGCAATGTGTTTCAAACCTCAGAACAAGTGTAGACTATGATAACTGAATTTACTGACCACTTAAGTCTTATTCGATCGTGCCTTTTAATCATGTATACGCTTAGTTTATGAAAATTGATTATTATTATTTACTTGTCATTGTCTTGCGAAATAGTGTACGGCGAATTCAATCTGTATAACTCTTAGGAATGTTGAGTCGTAATGAGATCTCTGCGTTATTTGAATCTGGTGGGAGGTTGATGGGGTTCCATTCGGACGAATACACTCGAAATCCACTAACGAATGTTTTTCGACCGAATAGATTTGTATAATCATTTGGAGAAATTGATTTTACATACATCAATAACAACAAGAGAGGAAAGTAAGTCAACTCATTCACTAATCACCATAAAGGTACTCTTTGTTCGAGTTTGTGGTGCCGGATAACCGTGAATGTGGGCGTCCAGTTGTATTTGCTTGAAACGCAAAAGAGTTTAGATATGTTGCGACTTGGATATTGAACATTGTCGGCGAGATAATTGGAGGTGCTTCCCAAACGAAGACTTTCATTTTGGACTATGCCAGTCCATATATGTAGGAAAACTTCATCGGTGTTGCATTGAAATATAACGTTTGCTTTAATATTTTTGTGTTCCATTCGGTATGCTTGTGGTCGGCGTGCGGCATGTTAGATCGGTATTCCCTAGGATATGAGCTTACTTTACGTAGGTACAATTGCTCTGGAACACTATCGATTAATGGGAATAAACACTTCTAAGGGCTTTAGTCAAGTGTCTACCTAAAGTTATGCGATCACGTTTCCTAGCCGTAGCTGAATGTGTAGGGGTCAATGACGAGAAACCTAACGTATGTATTCGAAGTATAAGAACAGAACTTTGGAACTGTAGTAGGGCATGATTCTGTCATAGAGTAAGTGTATTCGAAAGTAGTGCATTACTATTTTGGTTGAAGCGTGATGTCGACGATATGTTTACGAGTGTTAAGATATTATTCAAGAAGAAGTTTACATGAGAGGTATAATTGGGTAAGTGGGGCTGTAGTAGCCTCACCACCATTTCACTTGCTCTGAATCATGCTACCAAGCACTTTTTCACGTCCAATAATTCAGTCTTTCGTCTCTTCCTGATAGTAGATTTATTTTCACTGACATAGAATAGAGATGATGTGGTAACCAAGATGTGAGGTATATTTAATGAAAAATAGCAACAAGTAACTGTCTGTACAGATAATAATGTACTGCCATAATTATTTCGGGACTGATGAATTACTGTGAACATGTTGGCTGACGTTACTGAAGTTCTGTGAATAAATGAATGAAGTACATTGTGGAATCCGTTGGGAGTAGCAGATGATATGAAAGTTAAACACTTTATATTCGCCTAGCTTTTCTGTCTTATTCTGTGGTCATGGGAGCACTCTACTGTGGCCTTGACTATCACATACAACATTGTTTCTCTTGCCAAGTGTAGCACTATGCAAATGATAAATTCATGTCGTGGTGTCATTCCGAATTTCGATAGATGTCTAACACATCTAAAATATGTGATTATGGAAACCGGAGTAACACTTCTTTCAATCTGCTCAAATTATTTCCTTTGACTAGGCTTCCTATAAAAAAATCTGTAGCATTGGTATTGATTTTCTAGGAAGCTTAGTATCGTGTTCATTTTCGTAAACGGTCCTTCACGCATAATAGCATGCAGTAACTGTATATGCTTATGCATTTGAGTCTGTACACAACAAAGACCGGTGGGTGTGCACTGACGAAGAGTCCTATACTGGGACGAAACGGCTGTCCAGTACTCCCTGGTTGGTTTTCCAGTGGTTCTCGAACTGATGTCAGCTCATGATGAAATCCTCCAACGGATGAAACAAAACCAATACTTGGAAATAACAAAGTCTGTCGAGATGAGGCGTTTACTAATAAGTGGTTGAAAAATATGAGTCAGAAGTGGAACGTCCATATTCTTCCTAGCCATAGATAATTCCTTAAGGAGCTCAGAATACCTAAGTGATCTGGAAGCGAGTGATTATTAGGACCGGTATAACTTACGTAACAGATGCATTACTGGTAGGATGTACCTGCAAGCTACTTTTCGACAAGAAATTGATACTAATTGTAAGCGGCGTTGCATTTAAGAAGAATAATGCGTAGTATTCTTCTTGTTCCAGTGCAGACGTTGATATCGAGATAAGCTGATGCCACTTGGTGCAGTATATAGTTATGGGCTCGTGACATTCCACTCGTATCACACCTTCAGCTGAACAATTTTAACTGTGAACATCGTCGAAATGGGCGTAATCACCACAAAGTTCAGCCATGTGCCTCGTTCATAATATTATTTCTTCGGTGTGTTATGAAGGATTTCCCTCATCACGGATGAAAATGAAAATATATCTAACTTGTGTCTGTGGGTTTATTCTCCACCAAAGGCCTGTTTCTCATGGAATAAATGCTATAACATTAACCGTTGCCTGTAGTCAATATACAACCTGAACATCAAAAGCACTCACAAATTTCAAACCCCCAAGGCTGTCAAACAAAAAGAGAAGTAGTTTCTATGCATAATTTCTCTCGGTACATGCTTGTCTTTGTGATAATCCATCTGGAATATCAAAACAGTTTGACGTATTAATACAAACATAATAATGTGAGAAAATACCGCTTTCTTCGACTTCAGAAACCTAGGACTAATGAAATATTTCCTATTTTTAAAATAAAAGACTCTTGTAACTCCTCTATAGGAATGAAGACGGAAGCCCATTGTGTGCGCGAAAATGCATTGCTATAGCCTTTATCTTCACCCAAACAATTTCACATGGCTATGTCCGATATTCATTTGCATGGGATACATTTCACTGGTGATGCCACCCGACGATGATATTGTCGAGAAAAAGGTACGAATATACTACTCATTCTAGATTAGTGCACCATCTGACTCTGAATCAAGAATAAGATGCAATGCCGTACACAGCAAAGCTATGCAGGGGAATTGAACTCAAGCTTTATTATTTTTCCAGGGTATTTGTGATCTATCCAGGAAAGGCCTGGGTTCTGTTAATGCAAAGACTATATTTCCATATTTAATAGTGTGCTAATCCACTGAGGGGTTAGCAGATTGTC